ATAAAAGTTTCTTCCTTGCCAATATAATAAATTCATCTATGTATGAACGCTTTTTTCAATGATCTGAAAATATATTTAATACACTAATTAGTAGACTACTACATTTATACTGATATTCAGGTAATCAAATAAAAAATGTTCAAATCATTTGGGAATAATTCACAGAAGAAAAGAAAAATTTCAAACATGAATTTCTTTTAAAGTTTTTAAGCAATCAAGAAACATTTTTTTGCATTGCAACCATTTAACCATGTAGAAAATAATTATCTTAATCTGAATCGCGGCAATAAATTGTGCTTGAAGTAAAATGGTGCCAGAGTGTAGAGACTATGCCTAAACAATAGGCGAATATTTTTTTAAATTAGGTACTATTTTAACTCGGCGTTGCAGCGTTCTATCGGAATATTTTCATATATTAATACTTTAGCGAAAAAAATAATACTGTATCAATACATAAATGTGTGTAAAATTTTTCACAAAGCTGCAATAACACCACATACTCTTGTGAAAATCTGTCATATTTCGTACTCCGCGCGTTCCGCAATCTCTCATACTGTCCACCTTTATCCGATATGCGATTCCGCGTATGCGCGAGACGAGATTTTAAGCTAAACGAAAGTGTCCGATCCTTGTAATATAAATCAGTGGATTTTCCGATCCCGCTTTAAAAGTATTAAAGGAATCACTTTAAATAACCAACACCCGATCATTTGTTAGCTTGTACGGATGTTTCCTATCTGTTGTACTGAAATTATATTAAAAATGCACATCGCATGATCTTAAAAAGATGTATTATTAAATATACGATGATCTTTAGAGCGAAAGCTTACGTAATCGTCTTTGTGATACATGGAAATAATATACATGTAAAAGTCGAGGGAAATCGTCAATGTAGATATTTGGACTAATGGGTCGTTATTTATATCACGTACTTTTGATAGTGCAGCGTTTTTCGTAGATATGTTTCTCTTCGGTTTCAGTGGGCATGATTGATATGCTGTAAATATGGCAGTGATTCTTCCAGAGTAACACCCATTAAAAATTAAATTTTGTCTTAATATAATTGTATTTTGAGATTGATCGTTTTGTGCTAGAGTAGGATTGGTATTTAAACCTTTTCTGGTCAATCTCTGTTGACAGAATAAATTTTCAATTAAATCTGAATTGAAATAGCAAGAATTTTAAGAATTTCCGTCAATAATATGTATGTAGCAGAGAGATAAAATCCAGTTATAGAAGTCTTTAGATCATTTTGTGTTTCTTCTATCATTAGATTCTTTTCAACACAATATTTGTTGTTGTTTTTTCATCTTTTTCCCAGGTTTTGAAAAATTCTAAAAAAAAATCAAAATTTTTATTTGTCAATTTCTGGTTACAAAAATAAAACTATTACAGTGTTTTTATTTTAGTAATAAGATTGGAGATGAAAGTCTTTGTTGGTTGTATAGAGATTTTTTCGTAAGTTTTCATTAAGAACAGCAATTCCTTATCTTAAACTTGAATTGCTAAATTATTTCGCATTTTTGCAGGAGTATAAGTATTTAATGGAGAGCTAGAACGATGATAAGGAAACTACCCGCCTATATGACTGAAATAGTGTTGGGAAAAGGCGTGAAATAAAACAAACAAACAAAACAAAACAAAAAACAAAGATTGTAAATTAGTCCGTCCTTTTTTTAGAACATCCATTATGTCTTGAATAGAACATACATGTACAGAGTGTTTACTTAAAAATGAGTTGAAAATAAGCTTGCTTTCACGAGGTTTATCTATCAACATATTGGTAAAAGATCTTTAGGATGAAGCACAACCCAGCATCATTAAGCCCCTCAACATATTGGTCCACGCTTTCCTAAATTGTACTGTATAATTGATGAGCAATTTCTGTATTTGAGCCATAATAAAATTTTGGCCATCTTGAAATGAAAGATAACACAGTTTTAGTCTTAGAAACCAAACAAAGTCGAAAATGAATGCTTGGTTTTAATCCAACCCAAAAAAAGGAGAGAGGATGGAAGCGGGTGTTTCCCTTCTTTGAGAATTATAGAAGTATATATACTTTATATCGGCTCCATTAATTCTGCTTGCATAGTGGTATTTCGTTTTTTTTCCTTGGGTACCATATACCGCTTTTCATAGAATGGCACTTGCGTGTCACATTGAAGGTTCCATGATAACCGCCATATGAACACATCTGCGGTTTCAAAACTGTACCAGTTCAATTCTGCTTAAGCCGGCGATAGGGGTCGTGGACGGTAGTTTGCACTTGACAGTACCGTCTATGAACAGGCTCAAACAAACCGAGTCGGAAACATTTTCAATTTTGCCTTGTTGGGCTTTCTTTAGGGATTCTTATTTTCTCTATTTTAACTTAAGCATATCTCAAGATGAATGTTATATAACCTTTGCTTCATTATGCATTCATATTTAATGTACGAAGATGTATTAATTCATTTTATACTTGAGAGATATACAAAAAGGAAAAGGTTAGCCAAGTTCAGGGTAAACATTCAATCATTTAAGGGGCATGACTCGATATATTTTAAGTATGTTGAATATTTTCATGTTGTATATTCATCATTTATGTTTAAGTAAAACGCTTTGTGTTTCTATAACAAGAGGGCCTAATGGCCCTAAGGTCGCTCACCTGTATATAGGCCCCTGGAGCAGGGCCAGTTTGAACCCCAACAAACTTGAAAGACACCCATTAGAAGATGTTTCATGATGTTAAGTTTTTACAACACACATATAATAAAAAACAATGATCCCCCCTCCCGTTAGGGCCAATTTTAAACCCAAGGGCTTTTATTTGAACAAACTTGGTAGACTCCCATAAGAAGATGTTTTATCCTAAATATATAAGCCCTAGCTCATTGGGTTTTTTAAAAGAAGATTTTTTTTAAAGATTTTACTATACACATATAGTTAAAAACAATGACTCCCCTGGGGCCGGGCAAATTTGGACCCCAGCTCTTATATTTGAACAAACTTTGTAGACACTCACTAGAAGATGTTTCATGCTTAATATCTAAACTCTAGTTATTTGGGTTTTTTAAAAGAAGATTTTTTAAAGTTTTTGCAATACACATGTAAGGAAAATCAATGACCCCCGGGGAGGGGCCAGTTTTGACCCCAGGGCTTTTATTTGAACAAACTTGGTAGACACTCATTAGAAGATGTCTTATTTCACCATTTAATTTGTCTGAAATTGTATTATTTGAAAGAATGTACAAAACGTACCTGAAACTCGTGAATCCATGGAAGTGAAATTATAATACATTCGTATTCATTTTTACCTTTTGTCCTCCTGTATTTTTAGTTTTAATGTTGAAGGGCCCCATGTCCAATAAACCAACATTCTTATACTAGTGTGCTTCTTGATGGCAAAATTAACATTTCATATTTTTTAAATTTTTTTGTAGGCATTGCGTTCATTGAACGCCACCTTTCCTTGTTAATGTTTACCCTTTTTTTGTGAAGAATACATCAAAATGCCTTAACATATATTCATAACTTTTGGGTTCCCCATTCTTAGATAAATTTCAGGTGATTTTGTAGTTGTAGTTGTGATTCAAATAAAAGGTTAAATTCATGACCACTCCATCTTGGAAAATTTGAATTAGGATCTCTGAATGGTCTTTGTGTAGAGTTATTTAATTTGCAGTTTGGAAATTTTCTTTTTCTCATTCAATTTAAGCTGTTTTTCAGCCAACATCAGATTGCAGAAGAGAATACAGGAGTTGTATTATGGTCACATTATCTTAGCTTTTCATCAAAGGGCTTTGCCCTTTGCCTCATACGTCGAGGGCCTTTGGCGACACTTCTTTCTAATATACACTATTTTGTAGATTTTCACAAATGATCCAATATATGAAGCCAATTATGTCAATTTAAAGTATTTTTAATACATTTCCACATGATTTAAGGGATTCTGCCTACTGATTGAATATGTGTGTATACATATCAGGCATAAAGATCCTATTAGAGCTGTATTGTAGTGTGTTCTTTTCCCTAAGTAACTGTAGTTGATGGAGACATACTTAATGATGAATTCCCAAATGCATTTTTACAAAGGAATGTACACACGCTACGAAATTTCATGAAAAAATTTGTGGTACGAAAGCCAAGTAACTTCCTTTATATATGCTAGAGTTACATTCCTCAATTCATTTATTTTCTTTCATATTATATTTTTTTAGTTTTAATAATGTTTCACTTTTATTAAAATAACGCAAATATGTAAAATTAGTTTCATTTTTAAATAGTGTCATACTGAACTGCAAGACCTGGCGAGTTATTTGTTGAGATACATTTAGGGCAAATTTTGCGAATTTAAAGCGACAAAACTCGCACGGTGATTCACGCCCTTATACCATCGACATAAATGCATATGTTATCCTAATTACGCAATTGTTGTATCTCGTTAACTTCTTACATATGTCGCGAGAATACCGCCCGATTATCGCACAATACTTTTTTGTCATCTGTTTGACCCTAATTTGGCTGCGGAGAACATCGCCATTATGAATGCTGCATGATGTCTTATGGCTGCTGCTGACGATTTTTGCAATATTGGTGCATGAGTAATGAACTTTGTCACATTATATGTGTTTAATGATATCTCGTAAGAAATAAATATGTTACAGTAAAAAATAATATCCTTTAAGGAAAATTTTAAGTTCAAGAGAAGATAAATGTGACATTATTGGAGCGAGAGTTATGAATCTGGTCAAATAAGATGTTGTTGATGACAAGAAACATATAATTGAAGTATGAGGTCGATCCCTTAAGATAAAGAAGTAACAGTAAATTAGGCATTTTTAAGTTGAAAGTTGATACCTTAAGTTGTGACAAATATTTGACAGCACCAAAACTTTAATCAGCTCTCCATATAATTCAAATAGTCTAGCTTTTTAAAACTCGGTACAAATTTTATTGATTATAGAGAAGGGTATAGTTGACGTTATTCATTAATTTTATGCTTATATTTTTCAATTATTGACAGAATGTCAAGGTCCTGTGCCTAAATCAAAGAGAATATTTTGCTTAGTTAAAATATATTACATTTGGAGCAAACATTACCTTATATAAGAGAAAATGGAGAATTAATCTTTAATAAAATATACTTTCTTAACGAGAAATATTACATATTTAAAAGTTGTCTCTGATCCACGGCGATACAACTGTCATGCCATTTGGACAAGAAATAAGAAGAGAATTTATGCTACGTGACGGGAGTGTGTTTCTTAATCATGGCGCATACGGCTGCATTCCAAGGTGTGTACATGATAGACAAATAAGGTGATTTAATCTTTTTTATTTTTGTGTTTTTCTATCGACTTTTATTCAACATTTGTACGATCGTTTATGGCATCAATGTGCTCGTTTACAAAATCTACACATGTGATTTGCATCTGTTTGCTTTGCTTTAACAATACATCACATTTTTTCTCACATTAGTATGATAGCTATGGAGGCTATTCGTTGCCAAAATTCCAGCCTTGTTGATCTGAGCTGAACAGCTTGTTTACGGCGAAATACAATTGCATTTCTTTGTTTGTAAACTTCAATGTTGCATTCTTGGATTGAGTTTGCCGATTCAACATTGTAAACATCTATTTCAACAAAATTAATTTTGTTTAACGACAAAACATTAGCTGGTTTTCTGAGAGTAGCAATACCAAGTGTTCATCATAACATGCGGAATACTCATTGTTCGAGTATACGATGACAAAACAAAAGTTACTTTCTTAGCTGTACATTTACAAACCATCATGATTCAGATCAGCATAATTCAGCTGTACACGTTTTTCAATAGAAAATAAATAAGCTCCGCCCATTTTCCCGCCCACTACATTATCGTACATAAACGTATTTGTCCGCTCATTTACCGTCAGCGACTGGTCTGAGATGAAACAAGAGCACGCATCCACGAATATCAGTGGACTTTAAATGATTATAGGCCTATAAATTTTGAAACGTTGTAGATACCACATTTCCTAGATGAAGAACCTAAAGAAATCACCAGATTACTTATTGTCTCAATCTAACTTTAATGGGGGTTGTTTGAGAATATTTCAAGGAAGTAATAATTATTGATAAGACTATATTCAATATGTTTTTTAAATACTAATACAGACCAAAAGCTGGCAGTTGTATTTCCTAGTATGAGCATTTGCTATAACATTAGTAACCTTAATTTTAGCGTATGACTTGACAAGAAAAAAACGTTTAACAATAGTAAAATTAACACCAAAATTGTGTGTACCCTTTATTACATTTTTTAACATGATGTATAGATATTTTTCCCTTTTTACCATTTTATTTTTCAATAATAATACTTAAATTAGCACAAAGATATGTATGTTGAAAATCAAGTTATGTTTACCCTGTTTATCTTATCTCTAAGAACGCCATCACTTCCAAAACGTAATTAATATTCTGTATACATAAAAATAGTTCCCTGCTTTTGATCAGAAAGATAGCAACTCTAGGTAACAGCTATTGACAGCATGTATACACAGATTTAAGAGGTGTCATTGATTAAGTAAAATGGGTTCGCTGAACACCATAAGCAACACCAGCATGCACATATATAATAACAAAAGACTAAATCACATCCTATGACTCAAAAAGTCAAAATATCTCCTTATTGAGATAAACAGAGATGCTAGGATACACTAAATCTTTATAACAACATTAAAATGGGACAAATTCACAACTTTCTGGTTATACAACGGAATAATCGACAGTAAACTTTGAAAAGATCCGTGGTTGTTCACTTGGTCAAAAATATGGGTTTCTCTACAAACCAATATAGTCCTTTCAAAAAGGTATGACACAGGCTTATTGTTCAGTTCTCATATTTCATGTTGCCATAAGTGAAATTCTAGTACTGACTGCTGTAAAACAATTGCGTACAAACACTTCAACAAATCCATCTAGGCACACAAACCCTGTCGGCGAAACGCTAGCTCAACACAGAGTTGTTTGTGTCATTATATATGGAAACATCCCCTTATGTTAATTCACCAGCTTTAGTTTTTGCATATTATTATGCTCATTATCAGTATAAACGTTGTTTTATTTGTTACATTATATCTTAAACAATTTTGCATTACTTGAATATCCAGTGCTCAAATACAGTCAACTCGCCATTACCGGATCATAACCAATAGCGGATCACTCTTACTTTGCATAACAATAACTTAATCTTCGAGCCAAAATAAAAATTGTTGGCGTCACCTGCAGTATGTATTTTCCTAAGACGGTAACTACACAGCAGGAAAGAAGCCTCTGTTTTAATCTAAATTGATGGAAAGCGAGTAAAGCGTTTTTGCACACGGAGTTTGTGCGCGTCGGTCGAAACATTCCCGCGACGAGAGAATAATTGAAAAAAGTTTCAGCAATAAACTTTTGTAGTTTGCAAGGTGAATATATAAACTTTTATTCGAAATAGTTCTTTCCAATTTGTTCTGTTTTTTTTCCTGGTATATAGACTTGAATATCCGATAGCATAAATTGACTAGTTTTGGATCACACGTTTTGCAGTTGAGGGAGAATCTCAACAGCATAATATTATTATTATAATATTGTTTCATGTCAAAATAGTACATGACATTTACAGTCACAAAATAAAGTGAAAAAAGGGTAAATAATTGTAACGAAATAGAAAAAAAAACAGAATCCCTAAAGAAAGTTCAACACAACAAAATTGAAGATGTTTGAGTATGAAGCCTTCATATAACAGACAAGACGTCACGTCAAAAGACAAATTTAAAAAGCAGGCATCATATCCTTAGGGTGATTTAACAGTATTCAAGAAGGAATATTGGAACCACCCAAGTAGAAATGGCCGAAAAGAAGAAACTAAAAGTACCATATAACATGTATAAACAACAATTACGTTGTGCTGAACGATCTTCAAGGATCGAAAATATAACATCATTGATTAAATGTACGGGGAGACTTTTTACAGCCGCCACACGGCACAAATAACACGGATGTGGCAATAAAATAGAAAAAAAGGATCCCTAAAGGAACACACAACAATATTGAAAATGTTGCAGGCTCGGTTTGAGCCTGTTCATAGACGGTACTGGAAAGTGCAAGTTACCGCCAACGCCCCATAGCACCGGCCTAAGCAGAATGCAACATTTAACACGAAAATGGTAAAATTTTTAATTTAGAAACATCCGCAGATGTGTTCATACGGCGGTTTTCATAGAACCTTCAATGTGACACAGGAGTGTCATTCCCTGAAAAGCGGCATATGGTGCCCAGGTAAAAGAATGATTATTTATGATTTTAGTGGTTTGCTTGCCCATGCTCTGCCTTGTGCCCTGTACTGTTTTTGTTTGGGGTCCTCCTGGGTTCTTTGCCACTGGCTCTTGTTACTGGGTCGGGTGGGTATTGCGTTAATTGAACGCCGCCTTTCCTTTTTGATCTTGTTTATCATATTTTTGCCCTAAACGAGAAAACAATGGGCAGAACTAAATAAAGAAATATAAAGCCTGTTTGCTGTCTTTTAAAACTACATCTAGGTCTAACATTTAGCCACTTTTTGGCTTATTTTAGGATATGGTTGAGAAGAGGAAGTCTATCCATACATCATGTAGCCCTGCACAGAAATCTGCAAAGGCAGTTCAAAAGACGTACAGGGGCAAACAAATGACGCCAGATAATAAGACACGTGTACGGTGAACCCTTTATAGCGCATGTAACAATAATATGTCTTTGAGAAAAACTGCTAAGGAATATAGTTTGTCTTATTGTTTTCTCCATAGAGGTATTAAGGTGAAGAAGAAATTGAAAAGGTTAAAGGACCTGCTACTATTTTCACTGAAGCAGAGGAAGAAAATATGGCCGTATGGTTAAATGAAATGACAGAGAGGCATGGATCTTAGAACATGTGAGTTTCTTGACTTTGTCCAAGATATTGTGAAAAAGAGAAAAGAAAAACGCCATTCAAAAATGGAAGACCTTGTTACCAGTGGTATGCCAAATGTAAGAACAGACATTCACACATTATAGAAAAAAGAACAAAATCTACACTTGAGCTGAAACGTTCAAAGGTAACTAAGGATGCCACGATCAGTGGTATTCTGGATATAGAGACTTCTTGATTAGCATACGATGTCTTGATAAGCCTTCTCGTATCTGGAATGCAGATGAGACAGGATTCAACATGGGAACCATGGGAAGTGGACAGATGATGCCACCATTTTCTGTATATCCGGAACCAAAACCAAAAGTGGAACTTGGTGTCCAGAAATACAGCCGTGAAAACCCAGGCAGATCTATTGGGAAGGAAGTCTTTGCTGAAAAATTATCAGAGGTTTTTCTACAATTCTACAAACCACTCACTGTGATAAATGCTTTCAAGTCTTCAGGACTATGAATATATCCAGTTAATGCATAAGCAATATCAAGTGATCAGAAACTTTCTCAAATCCAGAGACACAATCACACGAAAGTAGTATGATAGAAGAGTCTGAAGAAAGAAATGCAAATGGAGCTCTTGATATATTTGAAACAAAAATGTCTACCCCTGTACGCACTAAATATAGGCAAAGATTAGTTGAGGGATATGATGTTGAGAGACAGTCACCATGCTTTGATGTATACAGGAAGATAAATAGGAAAGCTAACCGCCTCCGTGGTCGAGGGGTTAGAGTCGATGACTTCTAATCCAGTCACCTCTCTGGCGTGGGTTCGATCCCCGGGAGATGCTTTGGTAGTTTAGCGCGGAGGAAGGTAGTCTAGTACTGGTGTAACTCTCCAGGAACGATGGTTAGGAAACTACCCGCCTATATGACTTAAATACTGTTGAAAAAGGCGTAAAATGAAACAAACAAACAAACAAACAAAATAGGAAAGCTAACATAGTTAGCAGTAAATCTTTATCAGTAGAACTAGAAAGTAGTTCTTGGAAGCAGATGACCGGATTGGACATGCTTGCTGACGTAGTTCTACTTGGTTCCTCTAGTCAGACATTTTCAGATGTTGAAGCTGAAATTAGAGAAACTCCATCAATTTCGCAATCACCGACTTCAAGATGTTTCATTTCACCTGTGTTAAATGAATCTCCTGTTTTTCCAAAGGCCTAGGAACACTAAAACCTGTCAGAAAAACACTTCGGAACACTTTACCAGACAATCTTATATCTTAAGAATGTATCCGTTCAATGTTATTGAAGCAACTAGACAAAATTTAATTGTTTGCTGAAAAAGAAAAGCAAAGGTCTTGCATATAAAACAACAACACAAACAACTGAAAACAGTCACATCTAAGAAGAAAGG